CACACACACACACACACACACACACACACACACACACACACACACACACACACACACACACAGAGAGCCACCTGCTGAAGAAATGTGTGAACATGGTTGTGTTGGGGAGTGAGAGTATGACAACATCTATCTTTTGGTAACAAAATCCATTTCAACCTGCACACTCACCAGTCAGTATGTTTTATGTTTGTCAAGCAGAGGATCTGCGACAGTAAACTCTGAACTACTTCCTGATCCAAAATGGACGTGTGAAAGCCGACATGAATAAATGCATCTGTGAAATAAATCCTCACACCTCCAGAGAGGGGCCTGTGATCAGAGCTGATACTGAGTCAGCTTGGATCTGAATCAGACAAAGTTACGAGTCTCAATACCTGCAGCAACAGAATGGGGCCATATCTGTATTACAAATGACTACAAATGGGGAGTGTAAGTTAATGTGTTTAAGGAATTATACTGCCCAGAGAGTTACGATACGAGGAAACAGGATTTTAAAAGTGATCACGGGGCATGGGTCATTTTATACAATACGTTATAACGAAATCTACCAGGATGTGTGAGCACGGATGGATTATTATGACCACAGACACAAAATAAAAAACAAAATGCATAAAAAAGAGACTAAAAATAAATCTCAAGGCCAAGGACCCCCACTGGCTCGCGCCCACTTTGCCCATGTGGTAATCCATCATTGCAAATGAATGGTTCATAAGGCACTTTGCCAATAGGTCGGTCTGAGTCTTTTAATGTAGAAAATCCTAAATCACGCCTCCTCCACGTGAGCGGATGGAACTCGGATGGGACATGGGCCAAACTTAAAAGTCAACATATAAAACCTTTCTCTCAAAGACACTTTAGGTCGTCCTCGTCACGCTGATGTTTCTTCAAGTGTTTATTTCTCTGGTGAGTTGTTTTTTTATTGTTATTTTAAACTCACCATTAGGTCTGAAGACTCTGGTGTGTGGTTATTTGACATTTTACTGAATCTGAAACCAGTATCAGATCCTCTTATTCAATCCAAATCCTTTTTTAAATGTCACAGCAAACCAGATTTTGGTTTCGCAACATTTAGCAACTAACTAAAGTTATAAACTGCTCAAACTCGTTCTGTGATCAATTGAGGGTCCTGATTTAAAATCATTAACCTGATCAAATACAGCTACGAAGTGGATGAAAGTTTAGAAACAGATTCTTAAAATTGTCTCGGTGCAATCACCTACCTTTGCTTTAGTCGAGATGACTGATTGAGCTACACAGACACACAGTGCAGTTAAGGTCATGTCACAAAGTGATTGAGTCTTTTTCCCTCACAATAGACATTTGGAACTCTGAGCTCTGAGAGAGACGGAGCACATTAACCAGACAAAGCCAAACATTTCACTTTGGCCTTTTATCAAGTAACTTGCAAAATGGACTAAATAATTAGGTGCCACTGATATAATCTGCCGTCGGTGATCATTAATTTGAACCAGTGGAAGTGACCGGCCAAAACTGAGGAGCAGAGATGAACCGGTATTAGTTCACTGCAGATGGATGGATGCTGATGTGAGAAGAAATTGGAGTACAGATACGTCAAATTAGTTTTTTTAAGGGTTGCAGAGAAACAGCATCTTCATGACATAATTTATCCACCAGAGAAAATATGTGGTTCATGTCTTTATTAAATTTTTTAGATGTGATTGGGTTAGTTTTGGTTTCTCATGGCAACTAAAGACTTTTTTGTCATAAGTACGTCCAGTCGTTATCACCTACGTGGGCTGTCTCTACTTGACATTGATTGGTTTGTAGATGGACGTGTGTTTGACATCGGCTAGTTGTTAGTTCGTCTATTGCATTTGATTTGCTTACTGTTCTGAAGTACAGAAATAAGTAATCCTTCAGTTTGAATTCAAAAAAATATTGAACCCCTTCACATTGTTTCTTTTGTTGCGACTGTAATATCATTTGAGTTGCATCACCAGCATCCTTGTCATTCAAAAATTATTTTGTCTGCGACAAAGACTATAAAGCAATGATGCTTCTTTTTCTTCTTCTATAATTTAATCCTTTTTGTCCTATTGAACAAAAGTCCAAACTAAACAAACAAGAGTTTTCACACTGCAAACCAACCAAAACATGGTTTGTTTGGTCCAGACCTGGGTCACCGAATTTTGGTTCATTGGTTCAAACTGTTGTGAAAGGAAACTCTCAAATCTGTTATATTGGTTGGGACTAAACTGAGAAGTCCAAAGGTCCGAACATAAAGGTCGTGAGAACCCTCACAAATAATAAATGACAGTTACTATATCATCATCTCAAATGCTAACACTATTTTACTGATTATTATTATTATTATTCAAGCTTCGTAATTCAAGGTATTTTGCCAAACAGGAACTGGAAGATTTGAATTTATTTGAATAAACTAACAACTACACTGGACAACTCCAAAAGTGAGTATTAGACACACCCTTTGAATAAACAGTCACATCCAGCCAAAAGAGTGAGAAGCATCATTGTGCGACTGATGAAAAATGAAATTCAAGTTTGTTCTGTGTGAGCTTCTTTCTCGTCCCTTTTTTCACCCCCGTCTTTTTTTCTCCCCTCTCTGCATCTGTCTTCTGTAAAGACTGTGAATAAGGGAAATTGTGTGCACCAGCCAGCACACACAACAGCGCAGTGAAGAACGCATAAAAGTACATTGTGTAAGTGTGTGTGTGAGTGTGTACTTTGGGTGACTCTGCTTTCGTTTTGCTTCACCCCCTCCCAACAAATCCAGCACTCACACTGGAGCAAAATAGGAGCCGAGCCACATCTTGGCACCTTGCCTCCCCTCAAACAAATCAGACCACAGAGGCTAATAAAAAACTCCAAAGCTCTCCTCCACAGACGAGGGGGTACCAAAGAGGGGAGCCATTCTCAGCTGCCCCGCGCCGACTAAAATGAACTTGTACGAGACGGAGCGTCGCTTTTCAGCTCGGACAAAAAGTGCCAGTCTCTCTAACGTCTCCACCATCCATCAAAACCCCCGCACCCCTTGTTCACTGCTAAATACTCCTTCAATGTGATGTTCTTAACTAGCCGTGATTAAAAAAATACACTCAGTAAAACAAACCGCTTCTCAGATCAGTGACAGAGTGAGAGTGAAGTTTCCATCTTTAGACCAATTACTGCTATCATAGCACACTGCCTGCTGCTTCTAACTTCACACTTCAGAGAGGGATGAGAGGAGATGCAGGAGGAAGAAAAGCAGAGGGAGAGCGTCTGGCTCGGGGCAGAGAGAGGCCAGGCAGGTCTAAAAATCTAAAACGCATCTAGCCCACCAGGGCGTGTCTGCCGTAGGCTGCCATCAAACACACATTTGCATATTCAAAAAAGGAAACAGGCCTTTGCATGAGTCATCCTTTCCAAGAAGGTAGAGGAAACCAACCTTGCAGCGCTGCGCTACAGTACACAACACAAAGAGTAGCCGGCTAAACTCACAAACAGGACAGGCTGGTGAAAGAGAAGTGACCGTAAAAAAGAAACGAAAGACAAATGATTGCATCAGGTTTTAAGAATAACAGCTCGAGGCCACTTTAAAATGACTTTACAGTGCAACATCTGCTTTGAGTACAGGCCGA